GACATCCAGCCTGTCGCCCGGACAACACTTGCTAGAAGATTCCACTGAAAAAGATCAGGAAGAAGCAGGTAAGAATACCTGAAAAAAATTCTTAGCTCCTTACTCCTGACGCTAGGCAAAAAACTGGAGACTTGTCAGCAGGTGGGGGGTTTTGGCCACCGGCAGGGGCCGCCCCTAGGCTGTGATTGGTCTTTTCGTTTTGTGCCTAGCGTCCTTCTCCTGCAGGTGGCGATATTACCCTACAGTACAGGATCTCCGATCTGTTCCCTGTGTCCTTCAATGAACGGGAGAGAAATGGTAAGTGCCAGGACATGCTCTGCCGAGGTCTCTCCAGCCTCCCAGTACCTCCTCACCGTGCTGTCCCTGTTTTGATAGGGAATCCCTGTATGCGCTGCAGCAGGCAATCCTGGAGTAGGTCCCAACGCATAGCAGGGTTAGGCTCAGCCCTAAGGCAATAACTTGAGCCTTGAAAATAACAAACATTACGACGTCCCTGTGTAGCCGGCGGAAACACAAAAAAACTGAATTGGGATAGAAGGAAGAGTCTTTATTTAATATGGTTGATGTGTTTCCTGTTGCAGGCAGGCGGAGCCTGATCTCATGGGCTGTCCTGGAAAATGACTGGGGGAAAAAGTGCAACAGACTCATGCATCCCACAATTTAGCATAGATAGAGGAATCTCCCGCTGGGCCAAGCTTCAGTATCTTGCTAGTCGGCCACGCTGGCTCTCAAAACACCTGAACAATGCCTGCATCTGCACATAATCTAAAGGTGAATGGGCTGCTTTAGTCTTTCCATAAAGACATATCGCTCTGAAAAACCTGGATTCAGCCATCATGACTGCTGCAACAAAACACCTACAAAAGGTAATACTTTATTTATTTTGGTATGCGGAGTGAGTAGGAGCACAAACCTATAGATAGGTTTACTCAAATTTCACTGCAAAAGTGGAAATACACTTTAATTTAGGAAAAAATTCACTAAGATACGTGCCCTACCAGATCATAAACTGCATGAACATTCGACATAGAGACAGGTCTGCGTTGGCTGAATAGGTAAAATGTCCACTTGAACTATATCAGGACCCAACACTGCTTAAAAGAGAAGAACCATCACATATTCACCTTACATCTTCAGGCCAATTATCTATATCTTATGGCAGATAATCTCCTTTATTCACTTAGCACATACTTGGGTCACTACCTCAAATGTAAGAGAGAGGGCTTGTTCACACCATCTCCAGACCAGATCTGGACGAGTTTCTGCAAACACTGTCATGTATGTTTTAAATGCATTCCGGTGTGTGTTTTTTAGTAATTGGCTTTCTAGTGTGTTTGCATGCATTTTGGTGCATTCCTAGCAAAAATAGTGCATGCAGTATTTATTTTTTAACGTTTATGAATTGGCCTCACTTTATATTATAGGAATAAATGTAGATAGACCAGACAAAATTTTTTTCTGGTCTGGCTCTGATCCCCGCACATTGTGTAAATGGGCTCTTAACCAGTGCTTGTGTTGTAAAAGGAGGAAAGCCTGCATCTCTGCTTACTATGGATGGTTGGTATATCAAAGATGCAAGCGTCACAGCAGCAAGTTTTGGAAGTTTGACCTCAAACTGAGGATTTCTGGCAAAAGCACTGAAACAGACACACGAGAAGGAAATACCCACTTAAAGCATTACACAAAGTGTAAACGATAACCTCAACCTCGCAATGGATGCAGGGTAGTTACTTTGGTTTTCAGTTTAAAGTAAAGTTTAAAACTCTTACCGAACCAGGAGTCAATATTATTATCATCTTCATCAAAGTTGCAATTGGGAACATCATAAGAATAGGATCCCTGCAGGTCAGACATGGCTGCCTTGCCCTCGATGAATGGGAAACAATTGTGCTGTGCTTGCCTGCAAACCTGCATTATAAAATAATAGAATAAAAAAAAAAGCTGATAAAAGCATATTAAAGAGAAAACAAAGGTGCACATGACAATGAATAAGCAGTTTCTGCAGACAGTAAAGCTGGCTACAAGTCAGACATTATGCAGCATTATCCCTGTGAATACACTGCTGTTAATCTATCACAAATCAAAATACGTAAGAACACATTTTATCTCCGAGGTCGATAATTTACCAAAATTTGTAGACCAGTGTTATATGGACTAAAATTAACGTAAGTCTATTTAACGAAAATTTGTGTTTGACAAACATTTGCATTTGTATCACGAAACATAAAAAAATGGCAACTGGTGCCATTATATTCTACAGGGTCTCTGCTTTCAGGAGATAAACAATGTTTTTTGTTTTTAAAATTCCAAATGTATTAAAAACACATGTAAGCAAATACACAGTGTGATATAAACAAAGTCAACGCTGCCAACTAGCACAAAAAAATTAAATTGCATAGGGATACACAAGAGAAAATTGAATTGTAAGATATAGTCAATCAGAAGTGCCATCATCATCAATATGTCCCTAAGTTTGTATGCCACCTCGCATCTACTATGGGACCCGAGGAGGCAGCACTTGTCAGGCACTACAAAAAAGGTAAACAATTGGGGGTTTGAGTGATTCTAAGGGCTCCGTTCACACCCGAGCATCAGCATTTCTGCGCATAATAGCGCGCATTTTGTTTAGCGCCTCCTCTAGCATGTTTTGCTAGAGGAGGCGCTAAAAGTGAAAAAACGTGTGCAAAAACACACAAGTGTGAAAAACTCCTGTGGTGCACGTTTCCATTGAAGTCTATGCGGCCAAATGCGCTGTAATCTGCCCCAAAAAGCTTTAACGGGGCCATAGAAATGAATGGGATTTCTTGTGTTGAGTTTTGTCGCAATGATCTTTGAGCGTCAAAATGCCTAGGTATGAACAGGGACTCGAGCTTAAAATGTGCATTTTAACACATGAGCAAAAAACACAAAACCAGCTCTGGCACTAAAAAGTGTTCAACCCCCAATGTCACCTTTGCACTCCACCAAAGTTGAATAAGCACAGCCTGTGGGAGGCGCCGACTTCCACAGAAGCAAAAAAAAACTTCTTTAAAAAGGAGAACTATGGGGTTAGGGCTTCTCCCCATAGTTCTCCTTAGGGTAACGGGAGGACACAAACTAGCGTCCTCCCATCCCCCTAAGCTCAGTATACTGAGACGCTGAAGCGGATCCAGATAATTATGTCTGGATCCGCCCAGCTGCGTGATTCCCCCCTCCGATCCGCCAGCGCTGACTGGGGAGGGGGCGGGAACAGCTGGCTCTGCCTCTAGATAGGCAGAGCTAGCTGTCAGTCACGCAGCTGGATGGATCACGGCATAATTGTTGGGATCCGCTTCAGCGTCCCACTGCGGCGTCTCAGTATACTGCGAGCTACAGCTCGCGGTATACTGAGCCTAGGGTGACTGGAGGATGCTAGTTTGTGTCCTCCCATTACCCTAAGGAGAACTATGGGGAAAAGCCTTAACCCCATAGTTCTCCTTTAATAAGTCAAGTGTGATGCATTGTAACACATCATGGCGCCCCTTCATAAAAGCACACCAGCAGGAACACATTATACATATCCTGTTTACCCGAAAATAAGACCTAGTACCATTGTTGGGAATTGCTAAAATATAACACCTAAGCCCAAAAATAAGACCTAGTTGTGACCATTCCGAGGGCCGGTGGTGGCATAAGGGGGAACTTGAAGAGCCGCAGGAGAGATCAGTGGTGCCAACGAAGCCAGCGCCAGAGGAAGCGAGGCGGCACCGGAGGGAGCAGAGCCGCATAAGCCGATGCCTCCTCTATAGAGCCGGCTCCTGTCACAGGCGAAGTCATACCAAATGCACTGCGCCTGTGGTGAATCGATAGTGAAAGTGCGCTTCGCTCATTCTGGCCAGCGATTGGTTAGCAAATTACTCTTGGAAAGGTACGGCACCCCTGATTACATATTTTTGTACATGAATAAGTGTGGATTGTTGTACGTTAAAAAAAATAAGACCTACCATGAAAATAAGACCTAGTGTGTTTTTTTTGAGCCAAAAAATATAAGACAGTGTCTTTTTTTCGGGGAAACACGGTAGCATAGCACACCCCAAATGGTGTGAATGGGCCCTAAGGAACTGATGAGCTACAATATATTACATTCCTGTTGTAGGGTTGTGATGTTTTTATTTAAAGTGACATTCAGGCCCCGTTCCCACTGCGCGATATGCAAATCGCACGATTTGCATATTGCGCGTCATCGCGAGATTTGCCGCGCGATGTCGCGTTCAAGCTTGCATTGAGCAAGCTTGAATCGCGGCTAAATCCGCTCAAAAAAGGGTCCTGCTGTAGCGACACACGACCCGCTACAGCAGGACCCTTTGCCCCATTGGATTGCATTGGAGCGCGATATCGCGCAGTAATTTGCCGCGATATCGCGGGAATTACCGCGAGATAAATCGCTCAATGATGCCCCTTAAAGGAGAACTATGAGGTGAGTGATTTTCACTAATGCTCAGTTTGAGCCGACGTGTCACAATGAAACTGTCACAGGTTGGCTCAATAGATCGGGAAGTGAGCGAACACATACCGTCGCTCGCACACTTTGCGATCCTGTCCCTGCAGAGAGCCGTGCCTGTCACTCACGGCTCCCTGCAGGGATTCCCCTCCAGCGCTGACTGGAGGAACGGAGGTGGGAGTGGGCGGGTACAGCTGTTAATCACGCAGCTGGGTGGATGTAATGTCGGGATCAGTCCCGGCTGCGGCGGTCTCAGTATACCGCGAGCTGTAGCTCCCTATATACTGAGCTTTGGGTCAGGGGAGGACGCTAGTTTATATGCTTTTCCCCATAGTTCTCCTTTAATCTGATCATCTTCTAACTTACTGTCCTTTTCAGCTGTCCCTCCAGCGCTGGGTGCGGGTCTCCGATCCAGCGCTCACTCCTCTGTCCTCCTCTCTTCTGACATCCCACGGTGTCTGTGCGGGTGCACGCTGCTCCATAGACTTACCTTGTGTGTCTCCTCGTCCCCAGGCCGAACATCTGAACTGCGCATGCGCCCCAAGGTCCTTTGCGGCCGCCTGACACTCCTCAGATGTTCGGACGGGAGCATGCGGCGGCGAAGACACAGGTAAGTTTAAACCTGTTTCAGAAGGTTTTTTAAAAAAAATTATTGCATGTATCTACTGCTTGCTAGCGATATATGCAAAAAGACGTGAGAGTTTAATAATCCTTTAAACACATTCATATACACACACATACAAATGATGGCCACCACAAGTTGTATGCATCCCTATAGTTACATTCTAGGCATAACACAAAGAAAGAAAAGTATCCATTGCCGTATCATGACCCCACCAAATGCTGTAGCTCTCTGTGTACCCCCCACCTCACCGACACACAGTTCGCTGCTCAGCCGCACGTTAGCAATTTAAATCAAAACGCACATTCCAAACAGGCCTACCGCTGTGCGCAATGTACAATTTTGAAACGTTTTAATAAAGTTTTTTTTAAAAAAAGTGATACTCTACTAAACATCAGAGCGGCCCTTCATGACAGACGGTATACATACCATTGGACACCCCAAATAGTGTGAAGGGGCCCTAAAGAACTGGCAAGCTACAATATATTATATCTGTTATTGTGGTTTAAATATGATATATAAAGATGATAGATATATACAGCAGACGTTGCACGCATCTCTATAGTTCCAGTCCAGGCATAACACAAAGGAAAAAAACTATCCATTTCCGTAACATAACCCCTATAACTCCTTACCGTGTACCCTCGAGTCGCACACCGGAACCACCCAGTTTTTTACGGGAGCTCCTCACCGACACGCAGCTCGCTGCTCAGCCGCTCGCCGCACGTTAACAATTTAAATCAAGACGCACATTCCAAACAAGCCTATCGCTGCCTCCGGACGTCATGCCGCTCCGCTATTGGTTAGGAGCCGACCTCGCGAATTCTGGGAAATGTAGTCCCGCTTAGGGGCTGAGTCACGAAGCAGAGGGAGAAAAGGACTCGCATCCCAGGATTCCATGCGGCGCTTATGCGCAAATCGGCTCATCCCGCCCTTTTTTGTTTTTTTTCTGAGGGAAAGGAATTTGTTATCTGTAGCACACAGAGAGCCCCCTTCACATTTTGCATATAGATATACAGTACATTTATTATGAGGTGAAATGCTGCCAGTTATTCAAGAAAGTGTAAAAACAGAGGGTTATGTAAGCGACATGCAATGTAAAATAAATGCACTTATTCATTGTATAGCGGTTTACTAGGCCTAGGCCGATAATATTACAGCGTGTGATATATACGAACCTTCGAAGGGTCACGCATACGTTTCCTCATTTGTAGATTTCACAGTTTCTAAATTTAAATAAATTTGAAAAAAAAAAAATATATATATGATAAATCAATTTTTTACAGAATAAGTTCACTGCCCTGGGGTAATTTTCTTCTTTTTAATCTCTTCTTACCTCCTCCCCTTGCTCATCCTCAATAAACATTCTCAAATGCACAAATCCAGCATCCTTTAGTGATACACCACCGCACAGCCGGGCCCGTGCCACCATCTTGCTTTCATCCCCTATGGCGCACGTGCTGCAGTTGACCCGCTCCCTTTTGACATGAGTATCCCAGGAGGGGTCTATGTCATTCTTCCTTAGATGATACATCCAGGAGTACGGGGCCGAATACGTGAAAAAAAGGTATTTACCCAAAATGTTTATTTATGGACGAGTGTTTCTTAAATTGAGGGTCAGGACCCAAACTGGGTCGCCGTTGTGTTTGTGATGGGTCGCCATATGACTGTGTAGTAAACGTAGCCTAGTTTGTCTGCAATGAGCAGGGCCATGCTTATAATGAGGCAGCTTGATAGGCTCTTGCCTCAGGTGGCATTTTTTTGGGTCACGTGGGGGGCAGCAGGCAGAGCAACAACATGGCCG